TCTGTATACCTGAATCGGAAGGTTAGAGTTTAAAATCTGTGATAGTATTACAGGAAAAAATTCGCGCTACCCTTGATTGAGAGCGAAATACTAAACACTATACATCGTAATACAAAAACTAGAGTAAAAAGAGGTGTTTAAATATGAAAAAAATTGTGGAAAATTACCGTCGAAGGGTCGTGAATCGGCGATATTTAATCATACATGTGCGTCATTACATCTCCAAAAAATAACTGATTGATATATAACATGGAATATGATGAAAAAAGTCTTCAAGATTTTTTTTATTGATTTCGACTCGTGAGTTACGTATATATCAGATTGTTCTGAGACAAATGTATTTATTCACTTACGTATGGCACATGTGCTCACATCCGTACGTGCGTGCGTGCGTGCTGTTCGTGCGTGCGTGCGTGTGTGTGTGTGAAACTTGTAAATCACGGTTATAATCAACTTATCTCCGTCAGTACAACATGTAAATCACGGTTATAATCAACTTATCTCCTTCAGTACAACATGCAAATCACGGTTATTATCAACTTATTTCCGTCAGTACAACATGCAAATCACGGTTATTATCAACTTATTTCCGTCAGTACAACATGCAAATCACGGTTATAATCAACTTATCTCCGTCAGTACAACATGTAAATCACGGTTATAATCAACTTCTCTCCGTCAGTACAACATGTTAATCCTGAGAACATGTTTCTCGACAGTTTTGTGTGGATATCAGTAAATGAAATCTGTTTCGACTGAATGCACTCATATGTATATACTTTCACATTTAGACAGACAGTGTATCAAGCGCTATGTGTATACACATCGATTAGCTTGAACCGAGGTTATGAATACACTACCGGATTCACCAGGCGTAAGTGTACAGGTAGGGTAAATTTTTATTATTGTTTTGTGTAATTCTTTATCGTGTTAACCTTGTTCAAATCTAATATGTCATATAGCTCTGTTTCGTACGTAATGACAGGAATCTGTTAGAAATACAAGTAATCAGCCGTGATAAACAACAGTATTGTCATATCAAACCCGACAATCCTGATTGTAAAGTCACAGCCTGTGATCGGGATGACATAGTTTTATAAAATTCATCTTAAATCCAGATTTCTTTTCCACAATGTTTTTATTTCTTTAACAGTGACCCTGAAATATCAAATCTCTGTCATTTAAACGAAGCTGATGAGAAATTTTATCTTAGCTGTTCCAGCTGTGATAATGAACGCTACATGTTTTTATCAGTTGCTTTCGGTGATCCATGCCGCTGTCGTTTTATCGGTCACATTCCTGGTCAACATTGTAATATTTATCGGTCACAACCTGAGATCCATGCCGCTGTCGTTTTATCGGTCACATTCCTGGTCAACATTGTAATATTTATCGGTCACAACCTGGGATCCATGCTGCTATCGTTTTATCGGTCACATTCCTGGTCAACATTTTAATATTATCGGTCACAACCTGGGATCCATGCTGCTGTCGTTTTATCGGTCAAATTTTGGGATCAACATTTTAATATGTATCAGTACAGATTGGGGATACACAACTCTCTGAATCAGCTCTACTACATATATAAGACACGGTTTGAATGTTATACTGAGGAAACTTTGAGTAGTTCTTGTTATGTTAGTTTTTATGGAACTTATGTTAACGAAGCAATAAGATACCCGGGGGTCTGCTGTGAGAAATAACCCAAGAAATTTCACGTCCCAGACACCTGAACGTACAATTCCTCTCTGTTAATGACATCGAGATTGGTCAGCTCTCTTTATGAAGAAATTTAATGGTACGCACCAATACTTTTGTAATATAGTGATATAGGGTCATATGATAGTGCGATCCTAAGAGACATTTTATTTTTTGGCAAATGTTCAATATTCATTAATCTATGTAAATATTACTTGGGATTGTTTGGAATACTGTAAATCAGCTAGATTTCGCGAATACTTCATTTCGCGAACTTCTATCTTCAGATATCTTCGCGAATACATAATTTCGCACAGGCTTATCTAAAAATAACTTTGAAAATTCGCGAATGATAAGCTATTAGAGACCATGACTCTTCGAGACCCGGATGTCGTTAACGGGACAAATAAAAACGAAGGATTTGAATTCGCGATTGATTTTCCTCGCGGATTAACGCGAAAATAAATCCCACGCAATATATAGGTGATGCACAGTATGTAGATTTTTTCTCTTATATCGTTTACATCTGGAGGATTTTTAAGTATATACATGTATGTGTGATAGTTTGCATTCAGGTAGATACTCACAACGGCAGCTAGTCATCAATAAGATCGTATCATGTTCCGGAAAAACATTCATTTTACTCTCCGGGTAAGTTTTCTGTGCCTTTAGGATTCAAAAGGGATAAACAGCTATCTGCCTAGTCAAATCGTACCAAGAAATAGGACGCGCGTCTCCATTCATTCAACTTGTAATCACACAAAACAGCTCAGTAGTGAAAATAGCTGGTCTGACACTTACAACTAACAAAAAAAAAAAAAAAATTAAAAACACGTCAGCGGTAAAATCTGATGTCTACAACATTATACAAGAATAATGCGCGATGAAGTAAAACGGTATCTTTGATTTTTTTTTATAGTGAGAACAAGCAAACTGCTTGTAACATACACATGAAAAATGAAACATCGAACAAACGGCAAATGTTAATTTTCTTTACGTCGTGACTAAAATTACAGTTTAGAATGTAACGATGGTATATGTAAAATAAATTGCCACTAATTGCCTATTGTTAGAAACGAAGTTTACTTTCAGTTTGAATCGAATTATTGAGAGTCTACACAAGACCGCTCCGTAGGGATTTATCGTGTATATAATTGACACAGTTCTGTAGACAGATACACGAAACGCCAGCCAAGTACAGTTTATTGTGCGAAATGAACTTTATTGGACTAGCTAACACCTCTGACTGCTTGCCTGCAGCGCTGTCACTTACATTCACTATAAATGTCAAATCAAGGCTGGTCAATACTATGGAAATATATGACTAGTGTCCATGAGTGTTATATTTATCAAAAATAATATGCCCTCTCATTTATTGACCACCTAATCACGAGCCATGTCGAGCCATTGACCAGGATACAAAGCGTGGTAATAATTCACCTAAACAGGAGCCATATCAAGCCATTAACAGTATACAAAGCAAAGCGTGGTAATAGTTCACCTAAACACGAGCCATGTTGAGCCATTGACAGAATACAAAGCGTGGTAATAGTTCACCTAAACACGAGCCATGTTGAGCCATTGACAGGATACAAAGCGTGGTAATAGTTCACCTAAACACGAGCCATGTTGAGCCATTGACAGAATACAAAGCGTGGTAATAGTTCACCTAAACACGAGCCATGTTGAGCCATTGACAGGATACAAAGCGTGGTATTAGACCACCTAAACACGAGCCATGTTGAGCCATTGACAGGATACAAAGCGTGGTAATAGTTCACCTAAACACGAGCCATGTTGAGCCATTGACAGGATACAAAGCGTGGTAATAGTTCACCTAAACACGAGCCATGTTGAGCCATTGACAGGATACAAAGCGTGGTAATAGTTCACCTAAACACGAGTCATGTTGAGCCATTGACAGGATACAAAGCGTGGTAATAGTTCACCTAAACACGAGCCATGTTGAGCCATTGACAGAATACAAAGCGTGGTAATAGTTCACCTAAACACGAGCCATGTTGAGCCATTGACAGGATACAAAGCGTGGTATTAGACCACCTAAACACGAGCCATGTTGAGCCATTGACAGGATACAAAGCGTGGTAATAGACCACCTTATCACGAGTCATGTCGAGCCATTGACAGGATACAAAGCGTGGTATCAGACCACCTAAACACGAGCCATGTCGAGCCATTGACCAGGATACAAAGCGTGGTAATAGACCACCTAAACACGAGCCATGTCGAGCCATTGACCAGGATACAAAGCGTGGTAATAGACCACCTTATCACGAGTCATGTCAAGTCATTGACAGGATACAAAGCGTGGTAATAGACCACCTAAACACGAGCCATGTCGAGCCATTGACCAGGATACAAAGCGTGGTAATAGACCACCTAAACACGAGCCATGTCGAGCCATTGACCAGGATACAAAGCGTGGTAATAGACCACCTTATCACGAGTCATGTCAAGTCATTGACAGGATACAAAGCGTGGTAATAGACCACCTAAACACGAGCCATGTTGAGTCATTGACAGGATACAAAGCGTGGTAATAGACCACCTAAACACGAGTCATATCGAGATATTAACCAGGATACAAAGCGTGGTTATATGCCATCTAAGCACAAGAAATTTAGATAGGTTAATGTCGTCAATACATTACCATGTTTACCAAGTTTCAATTCATTCAAATATTTTTAAACAATCTATGACAAAAAGATACAAACAAACAAAAAAATTAAACAAACAAAAAAATAAAAAAACCCAAAACAGAGATACTTATACAGAGTCTTCTGAAAAGTACAAGGAGAATAAAACCATGTATTCCGGAAGAGTAAGCGTCTTCTGCTTCATCGACGACACCCGACATGTAAATCTTGGTCAATCCAAGTTAATAATGTCACGTTCGCAAATGAGAACAAGATATCCAATAACGGAACCAACGGGCAAACTATCGAGCATCGAACGCGTCAGGCTTCATTGCACAAAAGAATCAATGATATCACTATGACGACCGTCAAACTTTTCCTTCCTCATAATTCATTACGTGGTCCTGAAGATGTTTGACCGACGAACATTGTGATACCTGATATTTGTCATTCTTCAGAATAGCCGATTTCTCCCTTGATGTTGAAAATGTTTGACTTCCAAAATTATGTGTAGTGTAGTTTATGTCTTTCCCAAGGAAATCCGCGTTCAGCCGTGATGTTAAAGATGTTTGACCTTGTGGTACTGTGTATATGTCGTATATTTGTCTTTCCACAGAATAACCGAATCCTCCCGACGAGTTGAAGATGTTTGACCTTCTACCATTATGTGTGGTGCTCCTTATCTTCTTCCTGGTCGGAAGATGGATTATACGGAGTCGGAAACTGGGAGACTTGTCCGGTCGGTATGTGTTTATAACCGGCTGTGATACAGGATTCGGAAACATGCTTGCCAAGAGATTGGATTCTTTAGGTATGAATGTATTCGCTGGTTGTCTCACACAAAAAGGACAACAAGATTTAGACAAGGCAACATCGAAACGTCTCGTTACGATTGCACTAGACGTTACCAGTGAAGAAAGTATCCTCAAAGCATATAATGAAGTTAGACAGAAGCTTCCAAATGGCAAAGGTCAGTGTAGTTACGTAGTTTTACGAGGTATACTACAAAAGTAGACAATAACTTGAAATGATATATTTAGGCGTTCTATCTAGTTAAAATTAGATTTCATTTTAATGCTTGCATTGATTTTGCTCGTGATCTGCCATAAAATCTACATGTCGCCTTTTGATTATTCTTTAAATACAGTATTGTAAATTTTAGTTAAATTAAACTTTTAATTTTGATTTATATCAAAACAACATTTAAGAGACATGCCATATTTAATCGGGATCGAATTTTAGAAAGTTTATTTAATCCGACTCTCGTGTTCAGTTTAATATATTAACTTTTTACAACAGGTCTTTGGGGCCTCGTCAACAACGCAGGAATTGCCGGGAATGCTTCACCGGTGGAATGGCAGACCGTCGACAACTACCGGAAATGCAATGACGTAAATCTGTACGGAATGATCCACGTCACTACAATGTTTCTACCAATAGTGAGAAAGGCTAAAGGTCGTATAGTTAACATCACGAGCGTCATGGGGAGAGTTGCACTCGTAACTGGCCCTTATGTGGTTTCTAAATACGGAGCGGAGGGATTTTGTGATTGTCTGAGGTAAATAAGATATTTTGTTTGACGCACCTGCGACTACAAATATTATACAACGCTAGATAATTGGGCTGTTATCTATTGTACATGTGTGCTGCATGTGAACTGATTTACAATACAATGCTCTTTTCTTTGTTACACTAATTAAAGGTTGTACATAGGATAAATAATTCTAAAATTTCTAACGTCATATTGTCCTCCATACTGGTATGTCACGTGATATCGTCCTCCATACTGGTATGTCACGTGATATCGTCCACTAGACTGGTATGTCGCGTATCATCGTCTTCTAAACTACCATGTCACGTATTATCGTCATCTAGATTCGTGTGTCACGTGATATCGTCATCTAGACTGGTATGTCACGTAATATCGTCCTCTAGACAACCATGTCACGTGATATCGTCCTCTAGATTGGTATGTCACATCATATCGACCTCGAGACTGGTATGTCACGTGATGTCGTCCTCTAGACTGGTATGTCGCGTCATATCGTCTTCTAAACTACCATGTCACGTAATATCGTCCTCTAGACTGGTATGTCACTTGATTTCGTCCTCTAGACTGGTATGTCAAGTAATATCGTCCTCTAGACAACCATGTCACGTGATGTCGTCCTCTAGACTGGTATGTCACGTCATATCGACCTCGAGACTGATATGTCACGTCAAATCGTCCTTCAGACTGACTGGTATGTCATGTCATATCGTCTTCTATACTACCATGTCACGTAATATTGTCATCTAGACCGGTGTGTCACGTCATGTCGTCATCTAGACCGGTGTGTCACGTCATGTCATCCTCTAGACTGGTATGTCACGTCATGTCGTCCTCTAGACAACCATGTCACGTGATGTCGTCCTCTAGACCGGTGTGTCACGTCATGTAGTCCTCTAGACTGGTATGTCACGTCATGTCGTCATCTAGACCGGTGTGTCACGTCATGTCGTCCTCTAGACTGGTATGTCACGTCATGTCGTCCTCTAGACTGGTATGTCACGTGATGTCGTCCTCTAGACCGGTGTGTCACGTCATGTCGTCCTCTAGACTGGTATGTCACGTGATGTCGTCCTCTAGACCGGTGTGTCACGTGATGTCGTCATCTAGACTGGTATGTCACGTGATGTCGTCCTCTAGACCGGTGTGTCACGTCATGTCGTCATCTAGACTGGTATGTCACGTCATGTCGTCCTCTAGACCGGTGTGTCACGTCATGTCGTCATCTAGACTGGTATGTCACGTCATGTCGTCCTCTAGACTAGTGCGTCACATTTGATTTGGTAATTATTTTGTTTTATTTGATGTTTGATAGCCATTTCTGTTTCGTTGTAGATACCAGTTATATAACTGTGGTGTAACTGTTCACATTGTCGAGCCTGGATTCTTCAACACCGGTATTGTCAACAACGCTAACATCGAGGCGAGCATGAAGACGTCTTTCGAAGCACTCGACAAAGAGCAAAAGGAATTTTATGGCGAAAACTATATTCCTGAAAGTAGGTGATCTATACAAATATACTATTTGTAGGTTTGGATAAGATTTTCTGGTATCTGATATTTTGAGTAATTACAAAAATAGGAAAGAAAAACAAGTTTCCTAGAGTGTTTCTGCATCTTCTCATGTCTCCGGATTATCTAACTTAAACAGGTTTTCGGTTAAAAGATTAGTTCTATCAAATTATCATATCATATCTCGAAAATCTTATACCATAAGGTTACTCTGAATCCGTAATAATGATTTCACTGCGGAATTATTCTCTTTTTTTGTGATATGGAGTTCTATGTGGCCGATGATCGTGGTTCTCGGTTTTATAATTTCTGTTTTCCCATGAGAACCCGGCATGTTGAAGAAAATTGATATGGCGAGTGTTAATATAACAGAACAATAGATAAGGTATTATATTCTCTCTTTGTACTTAAGTATCCATGTAAACGTTTGTTCATATTTGGCTCTCATTTTATTAATTTTCGAGTTTGCATTACGATTGCTTTTTGAAATTTGATTCCTTCAGTTGTATCTTATTACGGACCTAAATATAGATATGAAAATTCAATGTCGTTTATATCCATATTCCTTTAGTGATGGTGAACGCAAACAAGAGTATTGGTGCCGCTATGTCCCCTGATATATACAAAGTGGTGGATGCCTTTACGCATGCGCTGATTGCGGCGTATCCCCGTACAAGATACGTCGTTGGATTAGACGCAAATGTCGTGTTCCGGTTGATATGGAGCCTACCCGAGTGGATAGGAGACCGACTAGTTGCTGCCTTGGTGAACTATCCTGTACCCGCGGGATGTCAAAAGCATTAACAATATTTCACATTGTCAGATATCTAGAAAAATTAAATTGGTCAGGATGTTAATTTTTTTAATGACAAACATGATATATTAGAATGACGCAGTTTATACATTTTGGCAGTTTTTTTAACTTGTCTTAAATGAGAATACTCAAAATATTTAAAGATTGAATAAAGTCATCCTTTTTCTTCATTTTTCCAGAATCCTTCATTATTTTTATTCATCTATCCCGATTTAGTCTATGGTAGATAGCTTTGGTTATGGGGCACATTATTTAATAATCACCTTTGACAAAATTATGTTAATACAAATACATATTATTAGAGATGAATATAATTATGATATGCTTAGAGCTGGGGTGATATCACATATATGTCACTCTGGTTTGTCAAGTCTACTCCTCAGGTGATGTTAATAAAGAATATATAGATATTTATGTATAGTTATTGTTTGTGGAAATAGTATATGTCATTTTAATTGATATGATAAAATTACGTCTGGTTGTAAATATTCGAAATTCAGATAAACAAATAAACTTGAAGTCTAGGTAGACACTAATAGCCAAGGTCAAATGAGGCCGAGTGTCTAGGAAGACACTTATAGCCAAGGTCAAATAAGGCCGAGTGTCTAGGAAGACACTTATAGCCAAGGTCAAATAAGGCCGAATGTCTAGGAAGACGCTTATAGCCAAGGTCAAATAAGGCCGAGTGTCTAGGAAGACGCTTATAGCCAAGGTCAAATAAGGCCGAGTGTCTAGGAAGACACTTATAGCCAAGGTCAAATAAGGCCGAGTGTCTAGGAAGACACTTATAGCCAAGGTCAAATAAGGCCGAGTGTCTAGGAAGACACTTAAAGCCAAGGTCAAGTGAGGTCGAGTGTCTAGGAAGACACTTATAGCCAAGGTCAAATAAGGCCGAGTGTCTAGGAAGACACTTAAAGCCAAGGTCAAGTGAGGTCGAGTGTCTAGGAAGACACTTATAGCCAAGGTCAAATGAGGTCGAGTTCCTAAGAAGACACTAATAACCGAGGTCAAATGAGGTCTAGTGACTATGAAGACACTTATTACTGGGTCAAAGTGTAAATGTACACCTTTCTTGTTGTTATTGTTGTTGTTGTTCTCTAAATGCAGAATTTAATCTCGAAGTATAGAAGTATTGTGATCGACCAGTGTGTTATAATTTCAAGGCTCCGAAATTCTCCCGCAAATGAATCTCCCCAAACCAGCCTTCCCTTTTGATTTCCTTACGGGAACCTGCCATTGCATCGCCTAAAAACATACTTTGTGCAGGATATCGATTTCGTGGTTTTTTACACAAACGTGGGTCGTAAGCAATAAAATTAATGAACATATTTCCATCTACATTTATTCTTGAAAAACCTAAAATGTTCTTACATGTAGAACTGTCAGGGACATGGGCAAGTCTATCTGAATCGATATGTAGCGCGTTCACCAATCAGCTGCTAGTCTAAGTATCGATCGCCTAAAATGGTACCTGAATGCTTTAATAGTTATCATTTGTTAGATCGGAGTGTGAAGACTTAACCCCGATCGATTTGTCACGTGACAAAGGGTCTTTATATGTTATATTCATGTCGATTTTCTTTTATTCATCATCGGATCAATGCGCACAAAATAAAGACACCGTTGTCATGTATAACAGACTTTGAAGTTCGAGCTACGAGAATCCTTTGCGATACTCCCAGCCGCTGTATCGATCGATAATGGGCATTCGGTTCTTATCGGAGGCCGACATTCCTACTTCACGTGTATGTTTCTAGGTAACGTATGTGGAAACAATGGACGATTTGGAATGACTGGAACTTACCGAGATAAAATGTGAGTACCCCAGTTTATTATTCTTAGATCACACAGGTATATACAGTAATTGTAGAACGGTTACCTCCAATCAAGGGAAATAACTCGTGTTTAAATCAATTTTCAATATCATGACACAATAGTGTACCAGTGTCCTAGCGAAAGGTATCAATATTTTTTATTCATTAGTCATATGACAGACTTGTATAATTGTATAAAACGGTAAAAGAAAATTGTGATTTTTGAAAAAGTAGAAGGAGCGTGTCGATGTTGCTTGTACATAGTGTTAAATACGGTCTCTGTCGCTTCGATAGAGCCGGTTAATTATCACCCGGAGACCTGTGTTCGATTCCCGGCCGGGACACTCGACAAGAATATATATTTTGGCTGTTTTTTTTTCACATAATAAAAGTTAAAAAATTAAACACACAAACGAAATTACAAATCATCAACAGAAATAAACAATACGAGATTGATAAATATGGTACGTTTTTGTATTATGTATATTCCATCCTCTCCACTATCGTCTGTTCGGTCGTACGTCCTACATCACTCCGATTAATAATGTTTAATCGATAATATGAACAAAGCATTCTGTGTTGCCTTAAGCAGAGTATTTTAACTCATGTCGAATCGAATTTTTATATAAATAAAATGTTCAATAGAAGGAACCAGAATGTTCGCTCAGACTGGAGTCGCTAAGATGCTATTCTGATTTGTAAATTAAATCTATATAAAAACATATATTTAAAAAGAATATCTATAACTTTATTGTGCAAATTATATATTTAAAAAATACATATATAATTTTATTTTGGCGATTCAAATTACAGTTGCGCTACAATATTTTGGTCACAATTGAAATATATATATGAACCAAAACATGAATGGATAAAAATAATAAATTCTCACCAAAACGATAGCACCGATGTTTTTAGTTAAAATAGTGTATACTGTTGATATCATTTCTCAACAAAGAAACCACCTTTACTGTAAGGGGGATAACTCGTGTACAAGAACAAACTTATCTTTGTCTTATTTAGTCCCAGATAAATTAGCCATTTTACAAGAAACTCATATAATTTACTTTCATTTATTGTAATTATTATAAAACTTAATTTTTAAATTCCTCAATACAATGATGGAACACTTTAGCTGAAGACATTCGTGAAAATCAGTCTGTCAGTAAGGTTTTTTTTTACAAAAAATAAGATAGTAGTCCCGCATTACTTTAACATTGGTAGCAAACCCTTCAAATATAACAACATCTTTATATAAGATATCTAGAGGAAAGTCCTCTATGTAGTTACGGTTTCGCTGAAAGTGGTTTTCATTTCTAATTATAGTGTAGTAATTATACCACAATCAGACAAAATACAATACTAATATAGATATAAATCTTGCTGAAACAAATCTTGTATGGGGAAATGAAAGACAACTCTAGAAAAAAAATTAAGATTTCTTTAACTATTGAAAATTATATCACATTAAGTAAGCGTTTTGATTAACATAGTCTGATACTTTTGGTAGTGAGTATTGATTTGTGTGGAATCTATTGTAATAACAGCCAATTTTCGATACACGTTACTCGATACCATTGCAAACTGTTATTTGAACGTGACAACAAATATCAATTACGGCGTCATATACTTTGTATATATAACGTATTCTACAATTTATTCTATTCGCCACGTGTAGAAATTACGTCGAATTATTAAATTTAATTACTATTCATAATATCATCCGTGCAAGGTGTTCCAAGACCCGAAGTTCCATTTGCTGCTGTATAAACTTGTGAAAGGCATTGATATAAGCTCGTAGTTTGTTTTGCTATCCCAAAATACAATAATGTGTCTGTTTACTTTGTTTTCATATTGAATAAGTATTAAATGAAAACTTCTCCGTTTTGAAATTTTATCGTATCCTCAAAGTATGTTATTTTGATTTTGAAAAAAAAATGAAAAAATATAGAATGATATTGTTAGAGATGAAATTTCATTTGATTAAATGTTTTGGTTTCAGAATGTATAGAACATATAACTAAAAGAACCTGGGCTGAAATGTGGACACGGAAACACTCCTGCGGAGTTATCGATCTTGGTGGCGAAGGAAGAATCGATATCACAAACAGCAAGGAAAGCGGGGGGAAAAAGAAATAATTACATGTTTCCTTACAACATATAACGTATAACAGCTTTACGTTGATTTCTTCACACAAACATTGTACTTGTTCAGTTAACACCAGAGACCGCATCCCTGTCTGAAGATGGCGCTAGAGTGTAATCGGTCCCAGAAGAAAATGGGTTTGTTCCTAGTGACAATGATTGTGTTAGAAGTGTATCTCATATTTCTGTTGACTGGTCGCGAGCACAAGTCAGCATTGATGGACGCTTTCCTCAAAAAGGAAGTAGAAAACAGGATGGTTACACCGATTTCCTGATGTAGGGTCACGTGACCTACCATCAACATTACGTCACAACCGTACCACTGTACTTACGCTTTATAATCTACCTTTACACAATGACGTCACACCATAAGATTATTTACTTTTGCCATAAATACTCAGTTTTTAAACTCAAAGGCTTGGATTTTTTTTTTGAGATTACAAAAATGATGATATTCTTTATTTTTATCAATTTGAAGTTACCCAAAGATGGATGATTTCAAACTTGAAATTAAATTGAACTACAAAACTAAAGACAATTCATACCGATATAGCAGGTTAATTCTACTATTGTTAGATAAGAAAATGTATTTATTTAGTGACTAATCTGGGCAATTCCAGTTGAAGCGCTGTCGAACGTTCTGGAGCCCATATACAAATGCTTTCGGGTGTTTCCGGTACCAATACCGGAAATTCCCGAGTTCTTTGTTATTTGTTTGTTGTTTCAATAATAAATCAAAAGTAATTGTTGTTTCAACGTGTCCTTGTATCTTTATTCAACTACTCATACATAATGTCGATGTGAGTTTTCAATATAATAAAACTATTGGTGCCCGAGCGTAGCTCTTCAAAAACTGGGATATGGTACATTGATGGAATGACAGTTCCCTCCCTTCTCATATGTGGGGTGGGGTGAGGGGGGGGTTGGAGGTGGGGGGGATTAGAGAGGCGAAGTCCCCCGACGGAAAATTAATTTCGTGATTTCAAAGATGTTTTGAATCGTTTTCTGAGACAGTTTTTTTTATCTATTAAACAACAACCCCTGACTAAATAAAAGCTAACTTTCTTTTCTTTTGATGCGCGAAAATGTCCATGACAATTTCCGTATCGGTCTTTGATGTGTCACTTTTAGTGTGGTCACTCGATTCGACTTTATTTTGTTTGAAAAACTTATCGATCGCACATCGGAAACGTTGAAATGATAATAATAGAATAGTATGACGTTTATAAAATTCCGGAATGCAATGCACTAGGCCTAGTTATTCAACAATTTTCTATTGATATTTTTTTATTTATCAGAAATATTAGATATTTATTTTCAACCTTAGTTTTGTAATTTTGTCCAACATACTCTATGCACGGATTTTTTTATGAGTAAGCCCGGACTTTTTCTTTCTATGGAAGCTACGCCCCTGTCAGTGGAGAAATAGTTTGGTTAAAACATCTCTTGGAATTTTTATGATGCTATCAGGAGATCGGGTGACCTATTTTAGAGTTACCTCCCTTATAACGTACCAAGTCATTCATTGTAGCAAACGTTTGCAGAATTTATGTTAATTAAGAAATTGATGTCTGTACAATGGAAATACTCTTGTACCAAAAGGGCAGATCTGTGTACAACTGTATAACAGAACTACAAGGCGGCGACAACACACTGATACAGAGGAAAATTCGCTGTAAAAACAAAGCACTCGATACTGAAATCAATGTTTACAATCAGAACAAAAATCACGCCACTTATAATGTGTAGAATGATTTATATAAAACTTTTTCGATATTTGAAGCACCACCTTTCATAACACAACTTAAGATGGGTCGCTTATAATGGGCCTTATCGAGACACCCTAATTATACTTTCATTCTCGATATTAGTTTATAACTTTGTATCTGTTTTATGTTCCATGTAAGTGATGCAATTTACCTGTATGCAAAATTTATGTCTTGATAAAGGGCAGATTGCCTTGAAAATTTGAAAATGCAATTGATCATATATATATATATATATATGTAACAGGAGGGAGATTGGGGGGGGGGGGGGGGTCAATAGTTACCCGGTCCCGTCTCGCCCTGTATCACCGTCAACCCAGGTTCGATGGGTACAGCTTGTATTTTGTTTCCGAAGGAGGACAAACACTGCTAATTTAAATGTAACAATTTATTTAACAGCAAACATTAATTAACAGGAATTATCAACAACGGCATAGGCCTATACCGACACAGAGACCCCCAACACATAAACTTATCTATCTCTGTACAAAATAACATTCCACCCAGCTATAGCTTCCCACCCGATAAAATAACGAATTACGCTACCATCCCCCGATCTACCTCAGAGAAGGTTTTTACCCTGTGGACAGTTTGAACCAATCACAACACATCACCAGAGACAGAACACCCCTGACACGGACGAAAATGCAAGGAAAACAAGACAGGAGAACTTGCACGTGATATACATAGACCTCCGACAAAACGGGTAACAGTTGACAGGACAAAACAATGGAGAGGTCACGGGTACACAGGGTACAAACACTACAGTAGGCCTGACATACGGACACCTGTATAAAGCTGACTAAAACTGAAGCATTGACAGCTTTATATCATATAAAATTACACAAGATATAATGTCCCCCGCTACATATATTTATGATCAATGAATAGCGACAGTACGACCAAGTGCATTGTCAAATTTGTCAAATGTATATGTATATATACAAAAATGTATATATATATAATCAACATTAACCTAAATGTGCCTACTTTGAAATGTTGTCTTTTCGATGACACCTTTAATTTTGGATGGGCGTGGTGTTACTGATAACACAGTTGAGTTTGGACTAGGTTAATGTTATTTTTGTTTGTGTTTATTAACAAATAATACAGATAAAAAATCACACGCACACTACGCTAATCAATACATCATTTTAATAGTTACACATTCTCTATTACGAGCAAAACAATATTTACTCATAACAGGTTTTAAATGACTGGGCATTGTATTGATTGCAAGGCAACATATCTCCATTCATCAAATTGCCACGGTGCTGCCCCCTTGTGATTGTCGGCGGAACAATGACTTGTGTGTCTTTTGTATAATCTTTAAGACAGCAAGTAGTAGGACTTGTGGACTTAAAGTCAACGAGGTTTGCCGTAATTGCTTGTCACGTTGAACTTCACTCGAATAATGGCACGTTTCAGAAAATGAAAATTACGAAACAGCTGTATGATGCAGCATCACTGATGAGTCCTAGAAGGACGATTCAGCGGTATGATGTAGCATCACTGACGAGTCCTAGAAGGACGAAACAGCTGTATAATGTAGCATCACTGACGAGTCCTAGAAGGACGAAGCAGCTGTATGATGTAGCATCACTGACGAGTCCTAGAAGGACGAAACAGCTGTATGATGTAGCATCACTGACGAGTCCTAGAAGGACGAAGCAGCTGTATGATGTAGCATCACTGACGAGTCCTAGAAGGACGAAACAGCTGTATGATGGAGTTCAATTAATATTTTTGGCTCTACCGTATCTTTCTCTTAATTATGAAAAGGAATTATTTACTTGTGTCTTTTGCACAATCCTTCTCTTTAACACCGACGTAGAAACACTGTATAACTACATCAACATTTGAATTTTTATATCAAAATGCGTAAAAATAACCACATCGATGACGTCATGACTTTAAATACACAACTTGTTTTTATTTGATTTTTTTTGCATCTTATTGACTTTAATATGCGCAATGTATCAGTATTCTGGTGTCTGATGGTTGTGTCCCGATATGCCCACTTTTTTTAAATAACATGGACAAAGGGTAAAGGAAAGTCGTTATATGGATTATAATTTTTTTCAGAGGAATTTATCCTGTATCAACCTGTGACGTTTATCTCTGGTTACCTGTGTTTTTAGCCTATGTTGGAAGCTAACCTTTACAAATTGATAATAATTTTATTGTTACTTAAAGAATAAGTTTTGTGTGGTTGAACTTCTATGTTAAAGAATATAATGAAAAAGTAATGAGATTAATTCTAAATATCATATATTGATCTATTAGTGTTTAAAATTCAAATTTTACATTTTCTTAAGACATGTCTTAATTAAAAGATCTGTATTTAATTAAATAATAGCGCTGAAATAATATAAACAAATATGTACTTTTTTATGAAGACAAAATCTTTGAAAAGAATCCAAGTCACTTAGCTAGCCTTATAAACTTCCGGTTCCGGAGAACTTGATCGAACTGGTATTTGTTTAATGTTAAGTTTTATATCACGTTCAGAACAAAAGAGTTTCGTAATAATCAAAATTATTGTTTTTTCCCTGATTTACACGTCTTTATTTTTATTCATCAATTTGTCAGCGAGTGAAGCAAAGTCCATATCACAGTCACGCATGCACACAAGGAGTTGTCTTATCGTAGGCTCGGAGGTTTCGCCCTGTATCCATTTCGTGGTAAGACTGGCGAGTTTCTCTTTTATATCACAGCTTGTAAAGCTTTGGTCGTATCGGTCCAGAGTCGTGACGTCAAAACCAAGTTCAATGAAAAGGTTGAAATATGACTTGCCTATAAAAGCGACGATGGTGTCTATATCGTCCATGGAGGGACACGTGTCTAGCAGCTTCTCCGGGACATCGAGTCCTAAAATGGATAAAAAGGCGCCCGTATATGTGTACTTGGTATCATAAATCCACCAGATGGCGTAAGACAGAGCTCTTCATGAATAATTCGTATATACAGTACAATGATATATACATTATAACGATGTGTTACCCACAGGAGAACACAACGTTTAAGATTTAACTTTTATCGTGTAACCTTGTTTTGTAAGGTTAATAAAACGGACAATGGACACATTGCCCGACTTGATCATTTCTTCGAAAATTGGCGTCGTTCAAGAAAACACAACCTCGTGTCTAAATACAAACTTTTACTCATTAATGACTTTTCATTATACATAAATTACTGACCTCTTAAAAAATTACTCTATCTATATTATACATGTTATTACCAAGTATTTTAATGCATTTTGCTTTTCAGCGTACATGGACAGTGTATATACATTTGTTGTTACGACACAAATTAAATTACCTTGAAGATGTCGACATTCAGCTTGGTTCTGCTCTACAGTTTCCAATAAACTGTCAGCGTGCATCCCGTGTTCCATCATGGCGGCATAGATTTGAGGAAACCGGATATCCGGTTGTCTGTTACACAACGTGATCAAGACACGGGTGACGATTGACCGGAAAGAGAGGTACCGGTATTCCATCAGCGTCTGGTCAATAAGATGACTCGGACAACCAAGCTCCATGAAGAACATCTGAAAGGACCCATCGATGTATTTGGAAATCCGGCCTATCTCCCGCACAGTCGGCTTTCTGTCTGGGATTCCAGATAATACGGTTTTATCTACAATTAAACGGCATTCATCTAATCAATTAATTATAAATATACTATTTGTTATGTTGTTTAGAAACTAATGCCCGGATGATACAACAGAAAATGTTTATTTAAATGTGATTCATCACACTATAACATGGAAGTATACCTCATCTATGCAAAAAGATATAAATGAGTTGGAAAATGTACAAAGGAGAGCAACGAAACAAATACTGGGAACGAAAGACCTAAGCTATGAAAACAGACTGAGTATCCTTAAATTACCATCATTGAGGCTCAGAAGATTGAGAGGAGACATGACCCAAGTATACAAGCTAACACGTGAAGGATATGATAGTGCTGTTTCTGAGGGTTTACTGGTCCCTAACATTAACAAAATAACACGAGGACACAGTCTTTCTTTATTAAAAAGGAGAAGCAGACTGAATTTGAGAAAGTACTCCATCAGTGAGCAGGTGGTTAACTTCTGGAACTCCCTTCCTGATGCCGTTGTCACGTCACCAACAGTCAAAACATTTGAATCCCGATTGGATAACATTGGAGCAATTCCGATTGCATTCACAATCATGAAATAGACAATAACAAACTTATTTATCTTCGGGAAACTTGGTAACTCAGATCTGGATATATATATAGGCTTTAAAAGCCTGCGTCCAGAATTATTATTATTATTTAAATCCACAATGTATAACACAATATACTTAATTTCAAAATGAATGCTGTTTTGGTTTGCATCAAGCATATCATATGTAATATGTCGTAACATATTGCATCATATTCCAAGCCACAAGGATACTGATTTATGTTATGACGTTATATTACTTACCAATATCAGGACAGTCCTGTTCCTAGAAAAAAGAAACCAGACAAACGATATTAGTAAAACACTAAGAAAAATATCGATCAAGATTTATACTAAAAATAGAAACAAACAATAACGAAACAGGTATAATATATATATAAAAAAATAAAGGTACAAATAGTGCTTAAAGACTGATTAAGTAACACTTTTGAAATTTTGATTGAATATTTTATTCAAGTCTTTTTCATTAAAATGCTTACCACATCCGGTTCATCAAACCAAACACTGAAGTGTTTCCGCTCCAGCCATTGGGTCCCATTAGAACTATAGCATTTCATAGAGGATTCCGTCCTAAGGTCATCGACTCGAACTCTTTTTTCTTCCAGGGAAAACCGGAAGTCCGTATGCAGGAAGTAATCATACCCAAGATGACTTTGTTGGTTCATCTGAAGGATTCTGTTAAGCAGGTAATCTAATATCTTTTGTAACTGTATGCCAACCCCTATCATTCGAGTTTCACCTTTCGCTCTCTCTGTTGTAAACATGACTACCTTCATCACGTGACCTTGACAGTTGATGATCATATTCCATCTGTGATCGACCGACAGACAAACTAAACCACGTTGTATGAACTTTGACCCGTCGTATCCTGGCTCGTTCATTGGCTGGAAGCGAACAATACACGCAGCAATGGTTTTGTCCCATATCGCTTGAGGTATGAATGGGTTGTCAAACACGATACACAGGACAGGTGTCATGGTAACGCCTGGATCAGAGAGTATTGTCAATACTACGTTGGTATCTGGCTTCTGGAGCATCCCTGGCACGAGATAGAACGTCACATCTTTCTTCAGGTCTTCAGGAAGAGGTTTAGAGATCAAACCCAACACCTCCATAACAGTGCACAGCATCTCGTATTTTTCTAGAAATCCACCAGACGGGTCCTTTGACAACAAAACCTTTAGAAATGTAAAAGTCAACTTTCCTGTCCTTTCATATTCTTTCCATTGAAGTCTTTCCTTTGGGGATAATCCTGTCTTGAACTTCGGAGCCGTGATAATGTGTTTGAAAGCATCTATCATCCACTGAGGTTTTAGCACTACAACTGGCGAGGTTCCTTCTAGACCGTATGATAGTATCGACCCCGAGAGGTGTAAATGTCTAGAGAAAAAAAAATAACACAATTACAAAAAAATCTGATCGTTTATACTTTTACAGCTTTGACATATGGCATGCCCAATTAAGACAGCTGATTTAAAAAAAAAATGTTTGTGAATTACTACATTATTGCCATAATAGGAAGTTTATTACATTAAATGGCTTACACTCCTCCTCATCTAGATTTTTGACATTTCATTTGATAAATTTTGGTTTCTCTCTGACGTCACCTGTTTTAAAAAATGACCTTAGCGTCAGTGACGAGACTTTTATTGAGAAAAACAGTTGTATGATGCCATTTACTTTATTATTTGCCTCTGCTATATTTGTATTAAAAGTTACTTTTCACTTGTGTGTCTTTTGTACAATCTTAAATATATAACTAAATTATCAAATTCAATTGGATCTCATGGTTGTTCGTGTTGAAGGCATGGGAAGGTTTACCCGCAAAGTATTAAGACATCTTGACTTATTGTAATGATACAAGATAGTGACGTCATAATTACATGTAATCGTTTTTATAATTACCTGGTATCATACAATGAAAGAACGAAAATTTTATTGATATTCTAAAAGACAAGTAAAAAATTTGCATTCGGTGAATTAAAGCCCATCATCGTAACAATGTATATACAGCGTATTCTACAAGTGAACCCATCCCCTAGGACAGAAGTTCGATTGACAAGAAGTGTAAGGGGTAAGGCCAAAACAAATTTTGTAATATAAAGCAAAGGCCAAAATTTAAGTCAAAGTGACCTCCTTTTGATACACAATAGAACCTGGACATATGTTTTCGTTGATTTAGATCAAAGAACAAAATGTAGGTCAAAAGTACCCTACTTTTGATACCACATAACCGATGTAAACTCAAACCGCAATTATGAAATTCCAAAGACGAGTTGCGGTTCTTGCTGTTTCCCTACAAGTTAAGAACCGACGATTTACCTTCGTTCTCTAGACTATAAAACCTCAGAACCATAGAATCACCAATGGAAAAGCTGTCTGATTAATTCATTATTCGACATATACTGTGTCCACTTACAACAGAAATGGTTTGATGTCTTCCTCAGGGAGAGGCACAACCAGCTTGTTATTGATGGCGACAAGTTCCTGGTATGTAAGGACATTCAAGTCTTCGTCTTTCTTTTTGAACAACTCCTGTTCCAGCGCGAGCCATCTGGCTGGGACTAGAGATTTCCATTGGGACTGTAGGTGTGCCACGTCCACGATTTTGTCCCACAGTTGTTGGTACAAGGGTTTGTTTTTGCTAGAGTCGTTCATGTTTTCGATGTGATACATATCCTGGACATGGTTTTCCATAATTTCTCTGATGGCTGGTTTGTTGTATAGCTTCTCCAAGACTTCTCCAAACTTAGCGTCCTTCTCTTCTTCCTGTCATATAAATAACAAACAGTACAGCACGAGATGACATTCAAATGATATATAATTGAAGCCGTTACAGAAAATTTAGGTCCATTGAGAAGAGACGATGTACACACTGTTCCCGAGACCACGAGGTGATGATGTACTTACTGTTCCCGAGACCACGAGGAGACGATATACTCACTGTTCCCGAGACCACGAGGAGACGATATACTCACTTTTCCCGAGACCACGAGGAGACGATATACTCACTGTTCCCGAGACCACGAGGAGACGATGTACACACTGTTCCCGAGACCACGAGGTGATGATGTACTTACTGTTCCCGAGACCACGAGGAGATGATATATTCACTTTTCCCGAGACCACGAGGAGATGATATACTCACTGTTCCCGAGACCACGAGGAGACGATATACTCACTGTTCCCGAGACCACGAGGAGACGATATACTCACTTTTCCCGAGACCACGAGAAGATATACTCACTTTTCCCGAGACCACGAGGAGATGATATACTCACTGTTCCCGAGACCACGAGGAGATGATATACACTTCCCGAGACCACCCGAGGAGGAGACGATATACTCACTGTTCACGAGGAGACGATATACTCACTGTTCCCGAGACCACGAGGAGACGATATACTCACTGTTCCCGAGACCACGAGGAGACGATATACTCACTGTTCCCGAGACCACGAGGAGATGATATACTCACTTTTCCCGAGACCACGAGGAGACGATATACTTACTGTTCCAGAGACTAGGTCCATATGTGAACCAATCAAAATGATCGGTGGAGTTCCAACCTCACTTTCAGTTTTGTCAATAGCGTAGGTAGCGATGGATCGCAGCCAGAATTCAATCCTTTCTGTCGAAAAGAAACACTCATTGATAAGTATAATTGAAATACGTCAATCTGTGTTATAAATTTATTTATACGTATGCCCTTTCCACAGTCCTTTCCAGGCAGTCTATTCTTTCGTTGATTGTGCAAAAGACACAAGTTAATAACATGTTTTGATATAAATTTAGTTAAGATACTCTAGAGTCAAATAGTAAATTAAAGTGCAGCATACAGTTGTTTCGTCCTTCTAAGACTCGTCAGTAATGCTACATCATACAAGTGTTTTGTCCTTATCGGACTCAGTGATGTTAAGGGCTTAGGTTTTGAAGCCAAGGAAAGAACATTCAAACGGAACGAAATCTAGACGATGGGTTGCACTACCCCAATTATTCAATAGATTTCGTATTTTAAAGTTTATCTGATAATATTAACATCGAGTTCGTTTGTAACTGAACCGTGTCCTGACAAACACCAGCAGAAATAATATCTCGAAAGCAGATTGCTTTCATTGATATTTTTATTACATCTCAAACAACAATCTGTTTTATATAGCGTAATTATAATTATTTTCCTAATATATATTTTCTATATGAATACCATTAAAATGAGAAAGTTGTCAGTATGACGTTAACAGCTAGAATGTCAAGTTACAATGTCCATTAACCAGATTTCCGTGGGATATTCCCGTAGAAATAACTTTAAGACGTTAGATAACCAGTTGGCAACGCCTTTACATCGTAGTAGCGGTTAGACGCGTATAAAACACTAGCAAGACGTGTTATGAATTTGACTAACGTGTAAAAATGGTACATACCAAATCCCCCCTCTTCTGTTTCGGGGTCTAGACAAATGGCCACATCAAACACTAGAATAAATATCATATCACTAGACATGAGACAGTGATGCGTGTTATAGAAGATTTTCTCCCCACCAAAATCATAGATGGTCACAAATCCAGTTGGTTCCTCGTCGGTGTTTTCAACACTCATAACTGTTTCCATTGTCTCCATCTGTTCATCCGTGACTTCCGTTTCCGGTTCAAGAGATAGATCGTCTCGATCAGAGAGTGGACTTGGGGGCGTGGTCGGGGAGAGTGATGGGTCGTCAGCGGTTGCTAATAACCGAAGGGATATATGTAATACTTTTCAACGGTACTGTTCAATTTCATCATTTAGCATGAAAAATAAATGAACTTGAAAACAATCATGAAAGAAAATACGGTCCTAACTGGCCTGCAAAGTTTCCAGTATTCCATCTGATAAGTGCGTTTAGGTTCAAATTAAAGAAACAAAATTACAAACAAATCAGTTGATCAAGAATCGTAATTATTTTCCTTTATTTTTGGGGTTTACTTTTTTTTAAAAACTGTCGAAACACTACATCGAAATTAGGTATTTCATATCGTTTATTAGGATTGACTCGAAACGAAATATTGCCAACATTAATGTAAGATTTATTTGTTTGCCTGGCTAGCGATTAACAACCAGGGTCATATTGGAACGGGATTTCCTTGTAGTAACTGGTGACTACGTAATTGAACAACATGATGGAGGCCCGTCACATACCGTCCAGGACATCACTATGTCAGTACTGACTGATCCGTTTTCCAAGAAACACAAACCACCATTGACATAGAGCGTTGGACCTGGTATCGTGGATCTTTATCTGAGGTAACATAAGCCAACAATAATGTAACAAACTCGGCCGTTTAATGTAAGCAGCTGACTTTGTACAATACTTACCATACGATCTGGTATTCACCATAGGTGTGGTTGTCTTACTCTCGTCAGTCTCACCGTCAGATCCTGATCCTTCTGGATCACTATCACTAGAATTAAACAAACCCTTTAATGATAATGATAAACTGACTGAGAAATTTTGTATACGTCAACGCCTCAGAACTCCAAAACATCAGTAATGGTGAGTATTGCTTTGTGTATTTCACATTCTCTCCGTTATAGATTTATCAATTAGTCAAACATTTTCTTGGATCAGATTGGGTTGGTTGTCTTTGTTTTGTAGGCAAATAATAGACAGTTGGGAAAAAAGACCAGAAAACACTGTACCTACAAAGTAACGAAACCTTACTTCAAACTTAAACTCAACGGAGGATGGCAAAATGTACGCGAAAGAAAACCTAACCCAAATAAGTACAAGAATAATAAGACCATGCGTTCTGGAAGGGTAAGAGTCATTTGCTGAATCACCGACACCCACCATATAGTGTATGTCAAACTAAGACAGTGGCCTACTCACAAGTATCAAACTAGTCTTACTGTCATGCCTTCAAAGGAAAAGGGACAAACTTCCGGGACTGGTTCCTCACAAAAACACATTGTCCTATTCTTATTCTAGTCTTAAATAAGCTGTTATATAAATCTTATACAATTGTGCAATTTGACTTCATTAGACTTGGATAAACTTGTTAACACGAGAAATTTCCGGATTGTTTTTAAGTAATTATTGTCAAAGCAATCGTATTTAGTATATATATAAGGCAAGCCTACCTTGACCTGTCTCTGTATCGGCGAATGACACGTCGTAAACGTTGTCGCCCAGTCTCCATTTCTTTACCATTTCGTACTCTCTCGCGAGTTCGCGTTCTCTGATTTACGAAAAGATGATTAGTCAGTAGATATGCTGTGTCAGTAGAGCCGGGACCTTCCTTTGGGATTTGTTCCTCCAGTAACTGTTTCACAAGACATGTCTTCCCAACACCCTCATGTCCAATACAAGTGATTGTAATATTTGACTTTTCCTCAAAGTTCTCGGCAACTCCACGCTGATATTCTGGAACAAATGTCACAGATAACAACAAGAAAATATCAACATGTCAACATAATCACAATCCAAACCACAATGCAATAAAACTTGGCGAAAATATTAACAAAAGAAAGATTTACACGGAAACTCCTGAAAAAGTACAAAGCAAAGTGTTCTGGAACAGTTAGCGTCCTACGCTTCATCAACTACACCCGCCAAGTAAACCTCGGTTAGTTATGTAATGTTTTCAAACGACAACAAGGTACATGTATACAAGAACGGAACTTACAAGCAAACCAGCGAGTTGAACGTCAACTGCATATTCAATTTCTCTGTTAAAATTATTCAACTGTCATTCGCGTTTTAAAGTTAGTAAATCTTTTCAACAATATCTAAGTGAACCTGGATCTTACACATCAACTTTAACGAGGCAAACATAAAAAAAACCTGTGTATAAGATCATTTGCCAGGCCATTTATCAGACGGAAGTGAAAAGTCTTTGATTTGGATATTTGCTGCGTTTGTCAAACATCCAAAAAACTTTAACAAGTGAGTATCTCATTTCAATACATTTTTGATATACAACACAGTGTACCAGAAAAATAGATCAAACTGTTTCTGAAAGTCATATTTTTGAGGACTTGTCAGTAATGTTAAGGTAAACATGTTGTAATCTTGGAGGCAAAAAAGGCAAATTAATATTGACTGAAATGAACGTTTAGATGATGGGGTTAACCAATATTACTAAAGAATGGAATCGAAAGTCTTCAAATGTGGTCTGTTAGGATAAGGAATACCACGAAGAACAGAGTTAATTCCACAGACCTTGTTTACACATGAACTGCCAGAGTTTTTTGTGGTCTTCACTCCTGTTTCTCCAGCGCCGTACAACATCAGATGGTCGTCGTCCCTTTCTGGAGTGACAGCATGAGGCGTCCGGACAAATCCTACAGATGTCTGACCATATGTCCAGCCAAACGCGTCCTAAAATCGCCATGTAATGCAGCACATTGTCTCCTCCGCAGTCGAGAATCGCCAAAGATTCCGGAGGCGTCACGTTTAAAAGGTAACGTGATACCTTTAACAAATAATAATGATAATAATATTAATAAACCACAAAGAAAATAACGATATACCAACAAAATCGAAATCTGAAAGAAAACAATTGATAAAACGAAATGTGACCAGTCTCGGTAATGTCACGTTCTACAACTAAGAACCGAGGTAAAATAAATCCATGTATCATGATTGTGTGTGGTAATGGGCCGGATTACTGAAGTGTTTAGTAATTAAAGATATATTCATGAATTTATGAATTATATCATTATCATTCCTTAACCGAATTTTAGATGAAATAAATATGAATAAAAGAATAAATAAGTAAATAAACTTTTGTTTCTTGTAGAACCATTCGCCATCAATTTAATATTTGATATTTTGTTCGTGATATTCCAGTAGAATTTGTCAATGTCACAGTGTATATTTCCTCAGTGTACCAGGGTATTTACGTCTGTGTAGGTATATTTTCATGTACAAATACTTTGTATGCATTGTACCTTTCTATGGCCTCGCAGGACCGCCCACATTATCGGAGTCCTTCCTTGTCCAGCCCGCTTGTCCACCTTATGGCCGGACTTGACCAGCTTTTCAACTAAGGACAGCTTTCCAGTAGATGCAGCCTCGTGCAGTGGTGGTAGAAACGACATCCTACTGTTAAGGAGATAACACAAATTATGGATCCTTATTGTCGGAAAGAGGTAATGAGCGAAACTGAAGAATAAATAATGATATCGTCGGGTTTTATTTTCATTACATTCGTAGTCATTCTTCATCCAAGAATTTACACACCAACGAAATGATTAACAATTGACCTGGGTCAAATTACCTGTGGATTTCCCGAGAAAGATTTATGCACGAAAACATATCATTTTACGGTAGCTGCAGTATCACAGTTTAGCTGTAGTGTCAATGTGTCTCTGCAGTTTCACAGATAAGCTGCAGTGTCACAGATAAGCAGTAGTGCCAATGTGTCTCTGCAGTTTCACGGATAAGCTGCAGTATCACAGTTTAGCTGTAGTGTCAATGTGTCTCTGCAGTTTCACAGATAAGCTGCAGTATCACAGTTTAGCTGTAGTGTCAATGTGTCTCTGCAGTTTCACAGATAAGCTGCAGTATCACAGTTTAGCTGTAGTGTCAATGTGTCTCTGCAGTTTCACAGATAAGCTGCAGTATCACAGTTTAGCTGTAGTGTCAATGTGTCTCTGCAGTTTCACAGATAAGCTGCAGTATCACAGTTTAGCTGTAGTGTCAATGTGTCTCTGCAGTTTCACAGATAAGCTGCAGTGTCACAGATAAGCAGTAGTGCCAATGTGTCTCTGCAGTTTCACGGATAAGCTGCAGTGTCACAGATAAGCAGTAGTGCCAATGTGTCTGCAGTTTCACGGATAAGCTGCAGTGTCACAGTGTAGCTGCAGTGTCACATTGAGATGACAGAAGAAATGCTTAAATAACACAGAGTTTCTTTCTTCTAATTTTTGAAAACATATCTAGTGGTAGATTTATAAAACTACATTTTATATATGTGGAGCAATTTTTAAAAAGTACACGATTGAGGCCTTTTTTAAAAAATATCTTAACTATTTCAGCTGCCGTGTTTCACTTTGCATTTATTTAGCATTTAATAGTTGTGATATGGCATTCATGGTCGTGGTAAATGAGAGAAATTTGCACGTACACATCATATCGCCAAATATGTATAACGAGTAATATTCCTGACGACATCAAACAAACCAACAATTAAACAAATGATTTAAAATATGACAATTTCTGATATAATTTCTCTATGAAGTCCTGACCCTGTACGAGGAGTGTGATTTTAAAGAATTCTCTCTAATACCTCTATTGGGTCACGCCCCTCCCGCTCCAGTAGAGACCCACTGTTTATAAAAAAATGATTTCCCTTCACCGAACAATGCTTTAGACCAAATTTAGGCAAACTCCAATTATTCCTACAGGAGGAGTAGGGTTTTAAAATTTCTCTTTTTGGACTTCGCCCTGCAGATCCATGCGGCAGTTACCAACCATTTAAAAAAATTTGTTCCCTTTTCCCTAGGGATGCTTCTGACCAAAGCTAGTTAAAATCCTGTAAGTCGTTTTTTTACTAGTTGCGATTTGTATGTAAAGGTTGACGGACGGACGGACGATGGACGCCGGACGCCGCGGAAGCCATAGGCTCACTTGGCCCGAAGATATTTCAATACGTATATCTACACCCTCGTAGAATTTCGTATGCTAATCGTTGCCCAACGTAATCTACAATATAATAAATAGATTTGTTGCATTGCCATGGTAATATAATTATTTAATTATAAACTGCAGAAAATAGCATATATACACAAATACACACATATATCACTCATGTGATGTTTAACTAAAATGGATTCCACGGATGGTTAAACGGCTGCGCAGATACGATCATCTTTCTAAATACAGCCCATGGTTAGATTAACAGGAGCAATACGTGCTAGGTAAAGCTTTCACTAACACACTGCGTTAAGCTGATAATACTTAACTGCTAGATATTTGTCCGGCATGATGATTTTGATTTTTTTTTATCAACACCAAATTTTCAGTCTCTTCTCTTTCCTCGACGTAGTGATGTTAAAATAAATGTAAAAATACAGTAGATACAAAAATAGAAATTTGAAATTTTGACGATTATCAAGCTATGAAGAAATACTTCAATAACCATATATCTGTAATGGGTTTGTATGTTTTCACATATTGCACCCAAAAAGATTACAAGTATGAATGTGTAACTTCACGATGAGTGTTAGTTCCGTATACAAGCATCCTACAATTATGAAACATGATTTACCTTAGGTCATTATTTCTTAGTAACAGCTAGGACTTTCTCTGGGCACTCACCGCCTCAGCACAAGCCTTAGTAGACCTGGTGTAATTTTCCACCATCCCGCTTCACTGCCGCTAACTCGGGAATATACTACCGAAACAGGCCTTTACCATTATGCACTAAACAACGTTCATAGTGATGTTCTACATGTTAACATCAAGCTTGTCTATTTTCCTATCTCATGTGTAACATGGCGAACAGCTATATGCTATATGTGAGCATATGTCTGTTACTGGCAAAACACACTCTGCCTGTCTACACAGTAGAAAACATTGAGGCGTAGAAAGTCGGTAAGGAAAACTGGATGTACTAAACCGTGGTTAACTGTATGTGTGTATCTTTACTAGGTCAGTCTTTCCGCTTGAGTGCGAACTGACTATCTTGCATTGATATGTGTTCTAATAGAAAAATAAACTTTTTCAATGTACTAAGTTTTGTCATCTTATCGCTTCAGTATAAAGCTGCATATTTAGCTGTATTCCGATTAAACCCTGTTCATGACATGCCTCTGTGCTGCCCTATTTCTCCTACAGTCGCTACATAGTACGATTCAACACGCGAACGCCTCTTTGGCGCCTTCCATGGATATCCTAGTAACCATTTTGACATAATGTAGTTTTATTTGTTGTGTTAAAAAATACGCCGATTTTTGTTTGTTTGGTTTTTTTTTTTTGATGATTTTTTTTTGCGAAACAACAATCTATTATACATTTAATTTAATTACACGGCTCTACAATATCTAGTTCTGTATTTTTATTGAAATATTTTATTCACTTGTATACGTTTTGAACATTAAATTATACATATATATGTATATCTAGTTCTATATATATCTTAATTATCTAATTATATTTTAATACTGTCTAGAATATTGAGCTGTCAGATTATGTTATTGAGCTTTTGAAAGGTGGTATTTATCTGTCATTGTAATCTGTGTGTGTTTATTCCTTATTAAACCTAAAAGAATATTTTTTGAAAATACAATTTTTGATATATTAGAAAGCGATGTTATAACTAAACGGTTAAAGAGATTTTAAGCAATATTTCAACTTTGTCATTAAAGTGGCATTATCAAGTTCAACTACATATATTAGTTATACTTCTGAAATACTATGGTATTATATATATAAACAAGGAAATACCATGTCAATCTACTGTTTTAAAGTTCTCTCACCGTTCTCGTCGCTTATGATGTATCTAAAATTCCATTGCTCCCACTGTTTTGTCTGAAAATTCTGAACCTGTCTTTACATACCATGCCACTGCGTGACGTGTTTTTGCATACCATGCCACTGCGTCATGTGTCTTTGCATACCATGCCACTACGTCACGTGTCATTGCATACCATGCCACTGCATCACGTGTCTTTGCATACCATACTTCTACGTCACATGTCTGTATACCATGCCACTGCGTCACGTGTCTTTCCATACCATGCCTCTACGTCACGTGTCTTTACATACCATGCCTCTACGTCACGTGTCTTTGCATACCATGCCACTGCGTCACGTGTCTTTACATACAATGCCACTGCGTCACGTGTCTTTACATACAATGCCACTGCGTCACATGTCTGTATACCATGCCACTGCGTCACATGTCTGTATACCATGCCACTGCGTCACATGTCTGTATACCATGCCACTGCGTCACGTGTCTTTACATACAACGTCACTACGTCACGTGTCTTTATATACCATGCCACTGCGTCACGTGTCTGTATACCATGCCACTGCGTCACATGTCTGTATACCATGCCACTGCGTCACATGTCTGTATACCATGCCACTGCGTCACGTGTCTGTATACCATGCCACTGCGTCACGTGTCTTTACATACCATGCCACTGCGTCACATGTCTGTATACCATGCCACTGCGTCACATGTCTGTATACCATGCCACTGCGTCACATGGCTAACTAAGATAATACTTCATCTCTATATCAATTTACAATTCTACTGAATACAGGATGTCCTTAAAAAGCATGCACCATTGTTGTTTAGGAAAATAGACATTTTTTGTTCAAAATTATTGTGACTTACCTCAATATATTTTCATGAACCAACCAGGACCGCTTTCCAACAAATCATGTGATATCTGAGACCATTTTCACTATGATGTATTTCCATTCCTAGGTCACAACCTAGCTGTCGTTTCTGATTTGATATTTATTAACTTGTACCCATTATCACGAATCGAATTCTGTGAAAAATGCCGACAACACACAACACAGAGTTATCAAGACATGTCGGTCGAGGAAGGTAATGAGAACTGCGGTATACATTGGCAATCTCAATGAGAGATGTTCTAAGTGCTTGCGCGATTTACAGACGGACGTGTCTAATGCTCGCTGATATGCCTGATGGTTCTCAAAGAACATTGTAATATTTCATATCTATATTAAAGAACCCAGTGTAAACCGTTACATTTCATTACATTTTAATACGAAGATATTACAGTCAAGCTTGTTACGATGAAAACATGGCCGCTGTCATCTCTGCAAAATATATATAAAAAAAATCAAAACGTATTGCAAATATGATCACAATAATTTTTACTTTTTGATCGACAATTTGGTCAGGTTTTAAATTATCAACAGAAAACATTGGGGCAATGGCTAATACCTATTTTATTAACGATAATATGAACTGTTTAATTTTCCATTATTTTTAATTGAAAGTTGGATA